TTTTTTTTTTTTTTTTTTTTATTGCTTCATCGGCTGTGATCAGTTGGTAAAATACTGAAATAATAATAAAAAAAATACAGATTTTCTTATTTCCCTGATCACCAAATGCTTAAAACTAAAAACACCTACAATTCTTGGCTCATAAAGGCATCAACCAACAGTATATACTTTGATGCCTTCTGTTTGAGTAAACTAAAATATGTTAGATGATCATAAGCTCTGGAGAATAAATGGGCCAGTTTATTCATTGAACACTGCCTCTATTAAAGAACCTGGATCACATCCACCCCCCCACTTTTCATTCAAGCTAGCCTTAGAGCAGTGGTGTCCAAGCGTTTTAGACTGCGGGCGAAAAAAGTTAAAAGCATCATTGTTTCCAATTAAAAATGCAAAATCATTTTATTGCGTTTAATTTTTGTGATTTAAATACACATTATTTTCATAAAACAAAGTAGAAGAAAACAATTAATTATAATTTGTTACGTATCCTGAAAACTGTTTCAGATATTTTTCTTGATAAAAGAAAGGTGTACAGCTTTCAGATTTATTTTAGGTATAATCTTTCATGTTGTGTTGGTTTAGAGAATGTTTTTAGTTTAATCTCAGCAACAAAAACCAGAACTTTCTTCTAAAATCCTCGCTGCATTTAGATAAGTTTAACGACTGTGTGCCAAGGTCTGTAGAGTAAAAAAGTAGCGGAATGTTTGTGCTGTGTGAAAATGCTGTGCTGAACACTTTCCGTTTAAGAACTCATCCTAAAAACAAATTTGTACCAATTCTTCAACTGCGTTAGGGTGCATTTCCATTACTAATGTGCGCAAAACTTTGTTGATATGACAAAAACAACAATTTCGCAATTGCTGTGTTTCCAATCACATCTTGTTTTTGACCACAAGTCATGTGATGCGGAATAAACTAATTTCAATACGACCGAAAAACAAACGCATCCAAGCGCAAAAACGTTTTATTAAAAAAAAAAAAAAAACATGACATTTTTTTCAAAATTAAAAGTGTTTCCATTTAGCTAATTTACTTTCGCAATTCCAATTTGCACAATAATGCGGTCAATGGAAATGCAGCTTGTGAGAATAGCAATCAACACATCAGACTTATGGAAATAAACAGAAATCAGCAATCAAAGCAAAGCCTGATTGGTGCATCTCCAGAAATGGAATGCGACATTTTACACGTTTCTAATTTTTAGAGGAGAATAGATTACCGAGTGCTGAATATATGCAGCCTTCTTCCAGAGGTTAAGTGATCAAATCATTATGTATCAAGTAAACACATGATGAGATTCGTGCTAAACTGAAGCCTAATGTTTTCATTTTATTTAAATGAGTGCCGTTCAATGAAAAGCTTCTCCTCAGACGACTTGGTGTGTCGGTGCAGAGGTCTGGATAAACCCAGGCAAATGTTTCGTTTCCACTGGATACTGTGGTTAGTCTCATCTGACCAACGCCTCGGCTGGCCTCTATACTGAAACGGGGGAAATTCCAAAGCAGTGTTGATGCATTAAATTAAAAACAACACATGCTCTCCGTGCAGAAACGAGTCCTGCTACGTGCAATATTCCAGACTCAACCAGTAAAAGTTTGTCTCATCTGTAGCAAACCGGTGCGTCTAGCCTTCACGCTACAGTGCTCCGCTTTAAGAGTCAAATTAAAGTAACATGAGCAAGAAAACCACAGTGTTCACCCAGTTACTTATTACAGATTTTTTTTTTTTTTGCAAACACTTGAAGAGGAAATGCAGTACCGGTGTTTTAAAAGTAAATCCACAACAACAAAAAGAAGACCGACCTTGAAATGGGCTGGACGCCTGCTGGGCCAGAGCTAGGTGCTCCTCTGTGAGGTGGTAGATGGGCTGGTGCTGGTTGATCTCCACGCTGGTACACACGTTGCTCTCGCCGTGCAGAAAGAAGGTGAAAGCGCAGGACAAGTGCTCACTGTGAGGGAATGGAGGCAAAAAACAGAAAAATTACTGTAACTTTGGGCTGGAAGATAAATCAATTACACACACACACATATATATATATATATATATATATATATATATATATATATATATATATATAAAACCTCTCCACTAAGCAAGGTGAGTGGCATCAACTATATCTGTGTTGTTCAGAATGAGGGCCGCCAGGGCAGCTTAGGAGGAAAGAAATGTACAAAACATTAAAAAAAAAATCTAAAAATGTTATCTAATTTATTTATTTATTTTCATAAAATCTCATCTGCTTTGCTCCTCAAAGCACCCATCTTAGCAAGAACAAAATGCAAAAGTTTTTACGCATTTATGCCAAACAAAATGTAATAAATAAAAAAAATAAATATTGAATAAAAGTGAGGAGGGACATTCTAAAAGTTGATATTTGTTTGCATATTAGCATCGTCTGTGGGCTGGGGGTCCCCGGCCAGTCAAGGCTCTCTGGGGGCCCATGGAAACGTTTGGGAACCCCCTGAACTGACTCACTCACTTTTTGGTTACTTTGTAAAGAACTCCTTAATATTGGTCAAAAAGTACCAGATTATTTCACTAATAACAAGACATTTTCCCCATGTTAGAGGTGAAATAAACCGTCACTGGAATTAGTACTTTTTCATCAATACTAAGGAAATAACAGCTTAAAACAAGCTTATATATCTTGCTTAAAAGCATCTTTAAGTTAGTCTTGTCCTATTTGTAGTGCACCGAGACATTTGCACTAGAAACTGCAAAAGAAAAAAAAAAGTAACTTGTAAGATTTTGTGTTTCTGCAGTGTTCCATGCCTTCCCAAACCGCTTCGGTACTCCATGAATCCGATGTGTTTAGTGGTAATCCTTTCAGTTAATGGTGTGCATGGTTGTGACTTTGACATTTCCCGAGTTGTGCGGAGGCCTATTGCGGGAGTCAATACAGCAATGCTTCACAGGTATTTATGAGCACTGCTGAGAGCGAGTGTGTCTCTGCCTGCTTACTGTGTGGCCCTGTGTGTAAAACAAAGGGGCAAGCCCTGACTAACCCTGGCATTCTAGCCAATAAGCTCAGCAACAAAACACTACCTTACACACACAAACACACACAAACACACACAAGATCTCCTCTGCTTCCAACAACGCCTGCCTGTCCCAGTCTGACCTCAGCAGCAAGGCGAAAGAAAAAAGAAAAAGATAAACCGCTGAGGGAAAGCCAGGACGAACAGCAAGGAAGGAGAGCAGCAGGGTAAAATGCTGAGCATTGTCTGTGGGCTTTCCTCTCTCTGCCGGCACACACCCAAGCAAACACACACAAAATGAGGAGAGAGAGAGAGAAAGAGACTGAGAGAGAGAGGGGAGACAGTGCAAGTGACAAATGAGTGAATAAGAGTGGACGCAGTGAATTTGGAAGTAGATAAAGGAGGGTTGCCTCCCTGTTGATTTGGTTAAGCAAATATGAGTCTTTTACCCCCCCAAACGCTGGTGATCTGACACACCTACTCTGCAGAGGATTAAAGACGAGGAGCGGGAACAGAGAGGGTGGGAGGCGTAGAGGAGGAAGGACGGATTGCCTCTATGACATAATGGCACCTATCAGGTTGGGTGGGGGCGGGGGGGAACAGTCCACATGTCTCAGTTAGCATTAGCTTCCACAACAGTCTACAGGGATGAACGTCTGTGCTCCATTCACCTTACGTTTAAGGTATTTTCCCACCAGAGAGTCTGGTAGACTCGCTTAGCTTGGGGATGGAGGGTTTCCTCCCCTGGTGTATTTAAGCCTGGCGGGCCACCAGGCTTGACTTGCTCCCCCACCACGCTAAGCCTCACACAGTATTATTCCCAAATTATGATGCCTAAGAACACGGACTGGAGTTTGATTAAAGCGGACTAAACGGGGCTCGAGTGACCAAAAAAGGGCCATTTGTCATTTCTCAGTTTTCTCTTAAGACAAATTTTAAATCAAGCAAAGCTGAACTAGTGGTCCTTAAATACCATCAAATCATAGAAAAATGTTCTAAAAAAAAGAAAGAAAAAAAAAAGAAAGCGAATCTAGAAAATTTAGTCTGGAAAAGCATAACATTTTGAAATAAATATGCATTGACCCTGCTGAAAGGAAGACATGCAGTTTTTCCTTCCGTCTGATAATGACGAACCACTTTGTATTGACGAATCACAGAAAAGCCCAACAAATCATGTAGAAATCTGGTTGTGAAGAAGAGACTTGAGGCCTCTTCTTCAGGTCTTAAATCAGTGTTGATTCTTAATTTAAATGTCCCATGTTCTAAATGCAACAGTCTCCATGCAAAGTTTCTGCATTGCTGCAGAAGTACTCAGGCAACAAACAGTCATCAGAAAGAGCATGGGAGTAAGTGTCATAACTTTCCAGCGGTCGTGTTTGCCGGTTAGAGCGCAGGAAGCAACAGTCACTGACGGGTACAGACGAGAAGCTATCTAAACGCTCGGTGCCTCGCTGTGCTCTTTGCTAATGAGAGTGCAGAGGATTGGTGTAATTTGCCAGCCAGGGTGTCAGAACAGTGCTCGACATCAGTGCAGCCATTCTTCTTCGCGTTCGCACTGTAATTATTACACGCATATGCTGACAAGTTCTGTGCTGTGGAGGCTGGCTTGTCATACGCGAAGTGCAGCGCTGAAGATACTTGCAAGGTTCAGCTCACAAATACAGTGCGGTGCCTTTTCGAAGGAGACAAGGGGATTTTGATTAAACAGTACATTTAGATGGCTTAGCGGTGATAATTCACCGGCGAGGTGAGGGACGAGAAGAAGAGCGTTAAACTTGAACACGGGAACGTTTTTTTTTTTACCTGCTTTGTCTGGCTTTGTTCCAAAGTTATGCTGTTTGTTGTGGGGATATTGCATAATACCAAAGAAAGGGATTACAATGAAAAATGTGGGTTAATCCTAGTTAAGGTAGCAACATACAGGTATATTTCCTCATATCCTGCAGCAATCGTTTTCCACCCGTTGCACAGTTATGCGCCAAGTTGTTAGATTTTAATATTCTCTGAAATAAACTTATTAGTTTGTGAAAATGTAAAAACGTGCAGGGGGTGTATGAATACTTATGCAAGACTCTGTACACAACGGGTTAGCATTACTGATGGGTATTATTGGGGTGAAGTTTCTTTATTTTGGGATACGAACACAACACACACAGAGCAGAAGTGTTGGCTGCCACTGTGCATTCCTTAGCAGAATGCTGCGATTTGAAACGGGTAAAGTGAAACGGTGAAGGACACCTTGTGTGAGCTAAACTTGGAATCAGAAATAAAATCTCACGGATAAGTAGTTTTGTGATGTGGTAAAGGATCTTTTTGAGTTATTTTTTATTTTGGATTTATTTATGAAAAGTTCATTTTAATGAGCAACAGGTTCTCATTTTCAAGAGCCACTTGTTACATTAAGGAACAAAAAACAAGTTTAAACAAAACTTTACACTCATTTAGTGTTTGTAGGTTTTTGCCCTCGAGAAAACTGAATGCCAGAGAAAGTGAGGACAAGTCAACACTTTGTCTAAACTCCTGTCTAGGGTTAGGAGTAAAAAAAAAAAAAAAAAGTTAATTTGACTGTATTTTATTGAGTTTAACTGCCCAGTATACATGAAGCAGACTAAAAGCAGGTCACAGGTGAGAGAAGCAGGAACAAACAGCTTCTCCAAGCAGCCGCCTGCAGGAGAACAGAGAGCTAGACAAACAGAGGACAGAAACGCTGGTATGCTGCCAGGTGAGGCTGTGAAAAGACACCTGGGGAATCTGGGCACATGCTGGCGCAAAGAGCAAAGAAGCCTTTTTGTTTGCTAGGTGTGTCATGATGTCTAAGTGGTAAATTACACTGCTTTGACTCCAGTGTGTGCCCAGGTGGGGTGAAGGACGGAGGTGTTGGGGGAATGGGGGGGTAGAAATACAAAGACATTCTTCTGTTTTCTGCTGGACGTATTTCTGTTGTCTCATGTTTTTAGTGTTTGCTGAACGGGTTGTTACTAAAAATGAGAATTTCTTCTCAACTCGAACAAGTTTAAATAAAGGTCAACTAAATCAAACAAGAAATGCGGCTTATCCATATTAGCGGGGGAAAGCGGGCGAGGGGATAGATGGCCTTGAGATTGGTGAGAAAGTGTGCAGAGGGAGTTAAAATGTGTCCGTGTAGTCTGCACACATCAACAAAAACACACAGCATCCTCTGCTCACGTGCAAAGAAAACCTGACACTACACATTCACAAACACGCGCGCATGCACACACACACACAAACACACACACACGCGTACATCTGCACTGTGAGCAGGGAGAGAGGGCTGCCATCTGTGGCTCAGCAGGCAGAAGTACAGCCGACACACACGCCATCATACCAGATTGGAATCAGCTTCTTCACAAACGCAATAGTGCAGATTTTAACCTTAGGAGATTACCACACACACACACAGAGACACACACACATGCACAGGCACACTGACTGGGGTGTTTTAAATATTCTATGGCTTATCTCTGAGAAAACGACTTAAAATATCTGAGTGTTATGTAACAGTTTATTGACTTAAACTGTTCAAGTGTTTTCTGTTTTTTCCTTTTTTCTTCAAATAATCCTGAAAAGCCAGCCTGCCTGAGCTGCATGATACTTGTGTTTTACTAAGTTCGTAGAGGGGTTTATAAGAGAGAAAAGGGTGTGTGTGTGTGTGTGTGTGTGTGTGTTCGTTGGGGGCGGGGGTTCAAATGTCAACAGGTGCCCTGATCTGTGCCGGCCAACTTAATGCGGCAGCAACAGCAGCACCTGACGCAGCTCCTCACTGTCTCCGCTTTCCCTCTTCACAAACACACAAACACGCATTCAGCAAACACCCGGAGTGTGCTGCTGCTTGCTGCCGGGCTCGCACAGAAAAAAAAAAAAAAAAAAAAAAAGATCACACACCACAGCATGTGAGGAACCCACACACTGGCACAACAAGCAGCTGCCAAGTAAGTAAGTGTGTGCGACTGCTGAGAAACACTGATCACACACACACACACAGAGCAACCGGGTCAGGCGTGGATTTTTTTGGGAAACCATAACACGGATTGATGAGTGATTTAACAGCTAGGAGTGTGAAACGTGTGAACTATTGCGCATATCAACCGGGACTGCACAATATATCAAATATTTCATCCTTGGTATTAATATTGCAAAAGACGGTTTGAAATGCAATATTTGTCGGTTATTGTATTAAAAGTGTCAACATAGGGTGAGTGTGTTAACATAGGTGCATTGTAATATTGAAAAAAAAAAACAGAGTGAGTGAGAGAGAGCGTATGTGCATTTATGGCAAACCGATAAGATCATTCGTGATCTTTCTTAGGCTGAAGCCTTTGACTAGTCCCTAATTACACAGATTTTCACTTTAACACCTTAAAACTCTAACAATGTGATGCTTCCTGAAAAACGTCAGCCCCTCCCTACAGGAGCCTAGATGGAGATGCACAGTAAGTAAAAAGTTTAACAAGTTGAAAAATGTTTACCTCATATCAACCCCTACAGCTGAAAATCTTCTAATGACACCCTTACACCACAAGGGGCAGCAGAGCTTCACCACACACTGTTTCGAAGCAGGCCTTGGTTCCCTTATGTTGCAAAATGCCATGAAAAGACAACAAATATACTTATCTATGTGTATTAAATCTGAGCCATCGGTTTTCCGTAATAACAACATGTATTTAAGATACTGTAATCCTTATATATTGTAATGCTTTTTCAATGAACAGACCAAATCAACCTATTACTCTACTACCTAAATAGAAGGCAAATATGTTTTAGGTTAAAAAAAGAAAGAGAAATCAAGCTGTTTTCACCCATCACATTTAATATAATGCTGTTTTAACAAAGCAGTTATTCTCTAAGCAAGCAGTCTGACTAACTAGCTGGTTAATTTCAGCTACTTATCTAGTTAATTAGTTGCTATGCTACTGGTGTTGCTCTGTAGAGCAGAAAAATGAATGTTTTCTGTAAAACAACTAAGTAAATTTGTCCATGTCATCCTTTACATCCAAAGAGACACATTTGACCTCAGCTTAGCTAAATAAAACTTGCACTTAGGCTTTAAGGGGGGGAAAAAATGGTTTTTTTTTATTTAAAGATCTACTATATGACAATTGTTTCCATTTTACTTTTTTTCTATTTTCAGTCTTTAAGAGACAGATTAAAACTACAAAAAAAGGATTTTCATTTTCAATGAGAAGTTCATATCTGTGGAATATTAAGAAAAAAAAGTTAATAAAAAGGCACAGTTTCCAACACATGACGAGAAAAACAAACCTAAAAGATATTTACTGGTACTATCAGTGTCCTTTGTGGAAATTCAGAGCAATTATCCCAACAACCAACTGAAAACTTGTAAAACTTTCATTTGTTATATCCACACTTAAAAACATTAGTTGGTTCTTTGTCAATTTTTCGTCAGCCAAAGTTATGGAAGCTCTTCAGAGCTACAGGCTGCATTATTGATTTTTTTTATTTTTATTTTTTTCAGGCTTTTGTGGAACTAGTGGCCTTCATTTTGCAATATTCAGACAGGAAGTGGGCAGAAAGAGAAGGGAGGAAGACACGCAGCAAAGGTCAAAAGGTCTGCAATCTAACCTCAGGCGGCTAAAAGCGTCTGCGTACAGGGGGCCTGCTGTACCTCCGCACCACCAGACGCTCCTGATTTTCTGTTATTGATAAAGGCAGTCGGACCCTGCAACACGTCTTCATTTTGAATTTCAGTGCTAATACGGCGTTGTGGTGAGACTGCGGCATTTATTCTCATGCTTATCACGCAGTGAGAACCTCACACTGCCTATTCCTAGTGCATGCATGTCATCTACGTTTTAATCAGCTGATGCAAAGAAATCAACAGGAACTTGATCACAACAAGTTCCTCAAGTTTAGGCCACAGGCCTGGTCTGGGACGCCTGATGGCTGTAAAGCTTTTTGTTTTTTTTAATTTTCGGAGCAAAATTCACCTCAACTGAAAGAGTTAGGGAAAGCTTTGCACAAGTTGTGCCAATATTAGCATTACCTATGAAAGCATGTTTCTTTAACCTGTGATCTGTTTGGTTGATGCATTGATGAAATTAAAAATGGTGAAGTAAAATAAAGTTTTATATTGAAAAAAAAAATTGAAAAGGAATGTTTCTTCTGCCACTGCATTATTTTGTATTTGTAGTAATTTTTTTTTCTTTTAAAGGGGCAGTTTTGTGTATTTTTCAGGCACATTGCGTCATTTCATACTACAATCAAGTAAATATGTTAACTTCACTTGTTATAAAAATGGTGTTTATTACTTTGTAATTTAACGCCTCCTAGTTAAATTGCGTCTGTCTCTTTAAAAACTCCTGTTTTTTTCTGAAACTCCACCCTCAGGACACAACATGTCTTCTATGTGAACTCTTTACCAACGTTTTTACCCAGCTTTGCACTGAGAGGCAGCCGGTATAATAAACTCAGCAGATGTGCAGTTCCAAAAGGTTTTTGCTAATCGCTTCTGGCTAGTCTGAAGGAGCTGAGGGGTGGAGGTCCTGGGTATGAGTGATCTGTGAGGCAGAAGTTTGGAAACTGCCTCGAAGGTGGCGCCAGATCGACCCAGGCGTTTTGCACAGCTGAACGGTTGCCACGGGAGATTAAAGGATTTCTCAAACATGCATGAAATAATCAAATCAACACTCCATTTTGATGAGGGAATGACAACACGATACCGCCCCCTTTAAAATGACAGGATTCAGACATAGCTTCATAGTTGATCTGTTTCTTGTCATAATTTTAAAATAAAAAATGTAAATAAGATTTTATGATCATTTACTCAGTACTAGAGTAGCCGTCTCCTCAAATACTTTTTCACTCTTTTTACTTTTACTTGTTGAAAGTGTTACTCTTGCATTGAATACATTTGTAGTTACTCTGCTGATTCTGACCTCTGGCTGGTTTGTCGGTGCGTCTCAGATTTTTAGGTAATTTTCCCCTAATTTTGTTCCACTTCCAGTGTTTCACAACCTTCAATGGTGATGTTTATTATTATTATTATTATTATTATTATTATTATTTCTAGCAAAGAAGCATGATTTCTCTTCTGCACCAAGTCCAAATTATAATCCGAACTTTACTCGTTTGATGTGAAAACTTCACGCTTTTCGCCTCAGGGTCTCCTCTCCTTTGGGAATTCCTTGAGGGTGCTTATCCAGGCACACAGTCTTTGTTGCTCCTGCTTCGGCGCTCAGGTTCTCAGGGATTTCAGAATGTCATCTTCCCTGCAGCGAGATACTGCTTGCTCTTCAAAAAGAAGAAGAAAAAAAAAAAAAAAAAAAAAAACAGGGCCAAACCCTGAAGGTGTGTATCGAGTACGAACGGCTGCAATTAAAACCCAAGCTGTCAGCGGCATGAGCTGACGGACACGGGGGAGGCCGGGACGCCTCTCGTTTTGTCGTCGGAAGTGGGACGTTTTCGGCTCACAAGGGGAGAACGTGATCGGGAGATCCTGAGTAACTTGTCGGAACATTTTGTTCGTTAACCAGATTTTGCGGGGAACTCTCTTCATACTCTCGTCTGCATCTCTCTGCGTCTGTCATGTTCACAGAGAGGATAAAGGAGAATAAAAAAAACAGCCACAAGATCGTTTAATCATTTTCTTTTTTTTTTTTTCCTGTCACTGCCTTTCCTCCCACTTCTCTCTGCTCCGCTCTTCATCTGTTAACTGGCAAATGGCTGGGGCTGCTCTCTGATCTGCTCTCGTCTCTTCCTCTCCTTCCCGTCGCACGCGGCGTTCGCTCGCTCTGATCATCCGCTGAGGCGCTTCCCCTTGTTCTCCTCCCCTCCGTCGCCTCTCAAATGCAAACGCCGGTTTCGTAGCTTGGTGGGAAGACAATGGGATGATCCGGCGACAACACAAAGACAAAGAAAAGCTTGGTGGGCACGTTTGCCTTCAGATGGCATGCTCTGCTAGCAAGATTCAAGAGAGCAGAGGCGCCCTGTGCGGCGGCAAAAGGGAGGACCGGAGAAAGGGAGACAACCAGGGTTGATGAGCTCAATAACTGAACAACTGGATCTAATTAGATCCCCCTTCTTTTTCCTGTAGCTAAAATATTTTGCTTTCTGACAAATTGACAACAGGCCTCTGCAGTGGTGCGCCTTTCTATCTGCATAAAACCACCTTTCTATCTGTCCGTTTTCATGTTTGCCTTCAAACCAATCTGATGTGTTGGAGCAGCAAATATTAGCAAAGCATATCTACTTTACTGCAGGATATCACTTTTATTAACTTTTTGGAAGAAATAGGAGGTGTGTGTATGTGTGTGTGTTTTTTCCGACCTCTGGGTTAGGGTTGTCATTCCGCTTATTGTTGCAAAAGTTTCCTCTGCAATCTATGGTGCAATCTTGAAAAAGTTTTCGGTCCCTTACAATTTTACGCATCGTCACGTTACAAGTACTAACTTTAATATGTATGACTGGATTATGATGTAGTCGGCCAACACAAAGTCATGTTTCACTTTTTTTTTTAAAAACATTTTCACAGTTCAAACTCACAAGAGAGTGAGTGCAATTAAACCTTGTATCTGGTCTATCTTAACTGTACCAATAAACTGCAATCATATAAATCATATCTTCCAGTCTATTAATCTTTGCTGATCCTCTCATTTAACCGAGAGTGAAAATTCCAACCGAGTCTCAAGTCTTCTGCAGCCTCCAGTAGGTTATCTTTCACAATTCAATTGTATTTATGCATTCCCACAGCATGATAAAGCCACCACCATGTTTTACTGGAGATGTGCAGCACTGGCTTTCCACCATGGATGTAGGTGAAAATGTTTTACTTAAATCAAATTCAATTACCATGTATGTTTTGGGTTGTTTTTTTTCCCACTTAACTTCAGATCTGTGCACTAATTGACGTATCGCGTACAGCAATATCCCAATAAAATACGTTGGAAATGATCAGCAGCTGAAAAGGACGCGCTGAATTCAACATGCTGCCTTCGTTTCCCTTTGCTGTATCTGCTTGAAAGAAAGTGGTTTAACGAAAAAAGAAAACTTCAAGAGAACTGCTGCAGTGTTCTGAAAACAGAAATCTGTAAAGACAGTAAAAGTAGCAACAGTTCTCATGAACCTCTGGCTTTCTGTGTCACTTTCAAAGGGTAAAACGAAAGTCGATCCGAGGTGAATGAAACGGTGTCTGAGGAGGAACGGACGGCGGAGCTGCAGCATTCCACAGATGTTTGTCGGGCTTGGCCGGGTAAGGACTAAGAACTGACCTTCCGCTCTGCTCATGTACACTTCCTCAGTCCTCTTCCTCTGAGATAGAAAGTAAAAAATAAGAAGAGACTTCTCCATTTTTTTTTTTTCTATTCTGCCTTGTTTGTAAATATCTGCCACTGGTGTCAGCGTGTCATAGTGATCAGGGGTGTGGAAACATGTTTTGACTGATCATGTGCTGCTGCGGTGACAGGACGTGCTGGCACAGCCACGGATCCTGGCGAGACATTAATAAACGGTGTTTCTGGATTGGACGCTTGCGGTAATAAGACACAGCAGGACCGGCGACAAGACTGCTTTTAGCCGGGATGGAGATGCTGAAGAGGCTCTGGAGGAACGCCGTTATCCAGGCAACACGCCGAGCCAGAGGAATTAAGCAGAGGCTCCACATCGAATGCAAGGTTAGAGATCTTAATCAGTCATCATGTGGATTCCGATTTGTGGTGCTGGGTTTGAATCCTGGTCGCCAACTCAAATGTAAAACTTTTTGAGACCTTTTCGAGGCCATTGTGAATGAAAAGCTGGCAAGCTAGCTAGCAAAAATGTTAGCAGTGACCCGCAGCTGCAATAAAGATGTCTGAGTGTGACTCAACCTTTTGCCTGACAGAAAAGTCCAGTGAGAAAAAATATAAATATAAATGCATAGAACATACAAGTAAATATCCCTGCCAAGACAGAATTTAAGAGCTATGATCAACATATTTAACGCTTTACATTTAAAAATTAATTCAAGACATTTTAAGGCATTTGTTTTAGACGTGAATTTAAGGATCCACGGACATGCTGAAAAACATGCCTGTTGGGTAAGGCTGCACCAATAACATCGTCCACAATGTTATTAATTCTTCTGAGAGCGGTTGACATTTAAATGAGAAACAGATCTTATCCACCAATCTTATCTACAGGGCATCAGCATGCCTAATTTAAGACTTTTAAATGCCACCTTGAATGAACTTTAAGACAAAAAAAATAAATAAAATCTATAAATATAACGGGTGGTTGGGGGAATTTGCTGCATTACAATTAAGCATAGCAGCAACTGTGATCCTGGCTTTGTTCTCATCACGCTGCATGCTCTCCACAGCCTTAACCCCATAGGGCCAGGTTTATAGTCTTAGATAGGTTGGCAGCAGAAGTCAGCCAGCCAGCTGCTGATAAATGTTCACTTATGTGTTTGAGGAAAAAAGCTAGCTAGCTAACAAGAGTATATTAGCAGCCAGTAGCCTGAGCAGCCTCAAGTGACAGAAGACAATGAAGATGTTTGCGTGCAACTCAGACTTTTGCCTGACAGATAAGTCCCCCGAGAAAAACACTACATCAAATAATCCTGCTAAGACCTGTGATTAATGAATTTAAGGGCAACGTAAATATAGAAATTTAAGGCCTTATTTTAGACACGTGAAAGTAAGACTTTAAGGCTGTGCAAGGATGAGTAGACAAGTTATATATACCATCGTAAAGATCTGAAAGTCAGCCACTGTACCCTTTTGCTCTGCCATGAGAGAAGGCTGATTGACTGGCCCGCCAACCAGGACATGTCTGCACATGCGCTGCCAACAATAGTTACCTCACTGATGCCAGGTTAGCAACTTTGTCACAATAATTAGCAACTTTTCAAACAAACAAACAAACAAAAGACAAATCGGTACCAGCATGTCAGGTTTACTAAAAATCTGTGATTGTCAAAAAAAAAAAAAAAAAAAAAAACTGCAACTGGTGTAACCCTACTGTCCTCCAAACTGCCTTGTGACAGGCTAGTGACTTCTCCAGGATTTGCCTTATGACTGAGATGGGCATCTGTGGCCCTCAAACTGAGTTTGTGCGGCCCCCTACTATTAAGAACATAATTTTCTTACAGTGGAAAATGTTAAATACAACAGAAAGTATTCATGTTCTTATAATCAAGCTTTTATAATGAGCAGAACCACATTGATCCGGAGACTTTTACTGAAAAGTCTACTTTGATTTGTCGACTCAAATCAGCTTTTATTGAATTTATTGAAGTGTTTTGAACAAAAGTGATCCAAATCCTGTTTCTACAGCTGAGAATAAACTTGTTCAAATGAGCCCAAAAGTGTTTGAAAAGTAGATGGCTTTCTTTTCCCACAGCAAACATGCAAAATCCTTTTTATGTTTGGGATCTGCAAAGAACAACACCCTTCTAACAAAAATCTAAACAAAAAAAAGAGAAAAAATAAATAAATCGGACCGTTTTATTTGCTCCCAATAAAACACAGAGACAAAAAAGTTCACAAGGTCTGAATACTTTTGCACAGCACTACAGCAGCATTAAAGAACCAAAGCACAACCAGAAGGGGGAAAACAAGGTGAGCGTAGGTAAGCAGCAGAGAATCGGATGATATCACCTTTCCTCCTGTCTAGCCACCTGACCGCTGGGAAACAACAGCTCAGTCTGCTGCCACAGAGACACCAAAACACACAGCAGCTACCGCTCAAGCCTACGCTCCAACACGGAGGAAATGCTCGGCTGGAACTCTGAAGCCCAGCACTTTCCCTACATGTAGAACTCTATTACTTTGAATTGATCTCCTTCTCCCACAGATGGAAAAACAGGCCAAGCAACTTTATAAATGTCAGATTAGACTTGGGAGGGAGAGAGAAATAGGAACAGATAGAACGACATGTTCATGAAATAATAAATAAATTAATTAAAGGAGAGAAAAAAATAAAGACGGATGAGGAATCCGATCCAGAGTGAGCGGATCATAACCACACAGAGCTACAGCTGGAGCAGAATAGAGATGATTCTGACACAACCCTGACGGCAGGTCAGGTTCCAGCCACACAAAGTGACACGCCGGGGGTGTATCTGAAGCCCCTGCTGTCAGTCACGACGTTCCCGACTCAGAGAAACATCTTCCTTCTCTAAAGACGAATCCGTTCTGCAACCAAATCACAATTCTGACGGAGCAGCATCTGAAAGAATGGGAATATCGCCCTGGTAATGAACGCATCGGTACTAGGGCTGAAACGATTAATCGGATTAGT